TATATTTATTTATTTATTTATTTATTTCGAGCGAAATTTAGGGTATTTTGACCCAAGTAAAAGGAAAACAGAATGATCGAGATTTCCTTGGCTAAATTGATGAGATTTAAGTCTGTACACGCAAAAATCAGGTTACGAAACCACCCGCCTGAACACGTTAGCCTGATTTATCTAGGTTTAATGACCAAAGAAGAAGCTTGGTTGGGTTTGCGTTACCTCGCACGTCTGTTTTGGCTGATGCGCTCGACATATTTATTGAACGAGTGCTTACTTGGTTAGAGCCAACGTCCAGCTGGCAAGTTGAGTCGTTTAACACCTTTCTCTTTCAATCTTTTAATCAAGCATAGATAATTCTTACTCATCTTTCTTCCACAATTCCTCAGATTCAACGTATTCCCCAATCTTTTAATTTTAGTAGCCTATCTTATCTTGCGTTTGATAACAGCAAACCCTTACGTACAGAACCATTCTATCTCACGCCCGGTCTCCATCGTTTGTAATGGATCATATTTCTCTCTATCAGTAGGTATTAACGAAGAAACTGTCAGAGTCGCTTTGAAAACTTCCCTACTAATTCGCATATTTTCTTTCTAAAAAAATATGATAGAAAGATAAGGACATGAGAAAGGCTTCGGCCTGACTATCTCTGACCGAATAGTCTTCGCCTAAAAATGTATTTCTCATTAAAGATAAATTATCATCAATTAAGTCCAAAGGATAATTATTCTCGTGGAATTACACTTACACTTTTCTTAACTCTTCGGTCCGATGATTTTCATCTGAAATCCTCATAATCATAGATTTTACAATTCTAACCCTAGTTTTGTTACTATGATTTAAAAGAAAATTAATGACAAAACGAGCGATTGCTGGTTTAAAATAAAGTGACGGAACACATGACGGAGATTGGGCATGGGATAGAAACTTCTCGTACGCAGAGGTTTACTGATTATGCTATTTCTGTTACCAAGTGTAAGATAAGAGAAACTATTAAAATTAATAGATTAGGGCATACGTTGAATGTTAGAAATGGCGTTAGAAAGTTGATTAAGTATTACTTATGCTTGATTGAAATGTAGAAAGCGATGGAGGGTGTTGAGCCGTCTTCCAAAAGAGGATGACTCAACATGTAAGCTGATTGATGGTTCTATCCAAATTAATATATGCATGCCAAGCTCATTCGCCAAGACACACATGCGGAGCTACGCAAGTCATTAAACGTTAATAATCCAGACTAACATGATCGAAATGGTGGTTTCGCAACCTGACTTTCGCGTGTACACACTTACATCTCATCAATTTAACCAAGGCTTCTGAAGGACTAACGCATTTACGGTCATCCTCTTTTCCTTTTTTCTTGCGTTATTGAGCCTTGATGATTCGGGGTTGATGCTAAGCTATTTCCGTATTCCAATGAGTTATGACTGGTTTTGCATACCGTCATTAGCATACATGCATACAATTGGAGTGGCAGGGACGCAAATGCTGGTAACTTTTGGCGGAGAATCCGTGTACACGGACATCTCAGGCGAGAAGGCAGTCAGCGTCCTGCTGGAGGTCTTGGAACAGGAGGAAGATATCCTGGAACCAGAGGGGATATGGAAGGATTCGCTAACACAACTAATCAATCTGACAGTAAG